ATGTTAGATATAATACGTAATTCAAATAAATCATAAAACATTCTATAAATTCTATGTTACATTAATTTTAAAATTTTTAAAAAATAATTATGAATTATAGAAAGTTTTTTTTGTGTTCAAAATTTTATACAATATTAAGTCAAATTTTCTCAATATTTATAGACCAATCGTTTACCATATTACACCAGTCATATCAAATCATAGTTAAACCGATCAGACCATACCAGACCAAACTAGACAATTTTGATTCTATTAAAATCATTTTTAAAGGAGCCCTTCCTAAAATTTGGAATTGAATATTAGATTAGAATTCAAGAAATCTACTAAGACATTCTAGAGATTCTAATGCAGAAATTACTCCAAATAGGAGTAAAACTATGACAAAAATAAAAAATATGACATCTTAGGTTTTTTTTTTCAAAATAAGATCATATTAGTCCTATTGGAAACATACCTATTTTTTAATTCCATTCTTACCCCTCCTTTAAATATGAGTAAAAGGTAGTCCAAAGTCATAATTAAATGTTTTAATTCATAATAAATTAGTAAAAAATAATAATAGTAGAAAAATAATAAACAATTAATAAAGTATTTATAAAATCAAATTCAAAATAATAGTTTTTTTAAAATATAATAAAAAAATATTACTTCTGTCCCCCTAATATTGAGACAGAAGGGAGTAATGTTGTTTTTAAGAAAAGTAGAATTATGTGATTAATAATGAGTTGATAAAATGAGAAAAAATGAATTAGAATCACATAAATGTTACCAAATAGGGTACGAGACAATAATAGGGGGACATTCAAAAATTAAAAAATGGGACAATTATAGGGGGGCGGAGAGAGTAGTAAATATCCATAAAAAAAAATTAAAAAAACTGGATGCCTTTCCCACCGCCCGCGTGTATTGCCTCCCTTCACCCCCGCCTCCGACCGGTGTAAAAAAAATGCCATTTTTATGAAAATTCCAAAAAATGACATATTACTCTTTGAGACTGCCAAAATTTGCATTGAATCTGCCATAAATATGGCATTCCTAATGCATGTGGCATTTTCCCCCGTTGACCTAAGGTGGTGGTTTTGGGGAGACAGAGGCGGCGATAATTTTTCTTTTTGCGTTTTTTTAATTCATTTTCATTTTTTTAAAATATTGTTTTTTTAAATATTTTTATTAATTTTTTATTATTTTTACGAATTTTTATTATTATATTATGAATTAAAACATTTCAATAGCTACAAGGGTATATTTTTCCAACACACACATAATTAGTCCTATGAAACATAGTTTATTTTTTGGTCCTATTTGCGCAAACTGACCGGCTTTTCGTCCTATATTAATAATTAACCCATTCTAATGTCCTGAAATAACACTAATAAAAGTAATAAGGATGTTTTTAATTGGATTAAAATTTCTGATTTCGACTGATCTGTTTAGGTTTGGTTTGATCTATTATGGTCTAATTTGGTTTTACTAAGTCTGGTTTGGTCTAGGCCTAAAACAATTCCAGGTAAAAAAATTTTAACACGCGCAGAACTTAATTCCTTATACCCCCCCCCCCCCCCAAAACCCCGAATTGAGTTTCAAAATTGGCTTTTTCAGTCAAATAAACTCATTTTGTTTACTTAAATAGGATATTAATTCTTAATTAAATTTAATTTTAGATTTTGCAATTGTATAGAGAATTTAATGTAGCTTCCCATTATCTAAATTTTAATTATAAAAATTAAATTTAACATTAACTTTAACATTGGTTGACAAAAAAAAATTGATTTTACAAAAAACAATTTGGTACCTGTATACAAAAGTTGCAAGCCAAGTTTTCTATTATAGAATTTATTTATAGAATAAGCATATTTTCTATTTAATAGTGACCTTCTATAACCGGTCATACTCCGGTCATGGATCATTGTTGTCGGGCAAGCCATGTAGATCGGATTATATAGAAATGAACAATAGTTGAGATTATTGTGAGCGGACCACCAACAGTTACGATTATTGTTTTCAATTTTCCAAATAAGTATCATATAAATACGTTTATTCTGAAAATATAATCAATCAAGTCATTTTAACTTGCTAGAAGGTCATTTTAAAAAAATTATATGAAACAATTGATTAATCTTATAAAATGAATACAAAATTTGAAAAATAATGTAATAATAATATAAAATCAGCACAAGTTCAAAAATAGATAAATATTTTTAACATGTTAAAGTAAAAAATAGAAAATGAGAAAAATGAAAAAATAAAGTTTAGGCGTAAAAATATAGAATTAAAATGAACTACCTCCGTCCCGTTGAAAGGTTCCAATGGCAAAACGACACAATTATTTAGAAAATAATTAAATAAGGTAGTTGGAGTATATTTTGAGAAATAATTTTAACAGGTATATAATGGGGTTAGTGCTTATAACTATGATGTTATAAATATATTACTTTTAATATTTTGTGATTAATTTGTCATTTAAGATTAGTAGTTGTTTCATAAAATGGAAACGATAATCTTTATTTGGGAAGTCCAAGAAAGGAAAGTGGAACCTTTCTATGAGACAACGGGAGTAATAACTCTAAAAAAGATGTAGACTATAAAAATAATTCTAAAAATGCAAAAATAGTGATTGACATTTTTAAACCACACACACTTTTTATTAACAGTTCTTCAAATTAAATTTTAAAAGTGGTTAAAAGGCTAAACCGATCGATTTTAAGGCGTCAAAATTAAGGGACGTTGATTTGCGTAAACCTCAAATACAGTGTTTTTGAGAGTATTCAAAACTACAAAAATGCTAAAGACAATATGTCAAATGAAAACTTTTGAATACTTTAATTTACTTTCCAAAGAGCATATGCTTTAAAATATTGACATGCTCTGGTTGACACACTCAAATTTACAAGAATTCAAGTACCCTTGATTATTAGCTACTGTTTGACGTGTGTTCTCTTTGCATAATATATAATAATAATATACATTTATGGTTGCCAACGTGTAATTGCTAATCTACTACGAGCAGTGCAAGATATGTTATTTTTATTCTCAATTTGCTGTTTGAAATTTTTATTAAGCATCTGACCAATGGATATGTGATGAAAATAAATATTGCCCAATTAAAGTCTAAAACATACAATATTCTTTCATTCAATAACACTTATTTTATCTACTAAAATCATAATACTCTTAATAACTCTTATAAAAATAAACTAATGTTGTTGTCGTTGCTTAGAGACTCGCCAATTGTTGTCATGCAGCCTACTGTCACTTTCGTCACGACTATTATTAAAATTTATTTAAAGGCCACAAATCTTTTTATAAATTCAAAAGGCAATTCAAATCACTAAAATAAATGGGGCAAGTCCGGGACTACCAGTTGCCATTTAACAAGTATTATAAATAACAAAAAGAAATTTACACGGGGCAAAAACGAAAACAATTTGATAGAATAAAATACTTTTGCAATAATGGAGTTGCGATGTCAACATCTTTATTCACTAATTCACTCTCATTAGATATTATGGAGTGACACCGAGACCGTCAAATTTTTTTCCTATGTTCTATAATAGAATTTAAAATATAAAAGTGTATTTTATCCCGTGCACGGCACGGGTAGAGATACTAGTACTTTCTAAATTGAAGTATTTCTTTAATTAGTATAATTGCTTATTTGCTAATTGCTTTAATTATTTATTTAATTTAAACTGAATTGATTAATCACAGGACAGTTTGAATTCTTTTGTAATTTTGTTGATTAATTACTTTAATTTGGTTAAGGTTTAATTGATTAATTGCCTGAATTGATATTAAGGTTAAATTGTTTGGATTAATTACTTTCATCGCTTTACTTGCTTTGAATTTTAATTGATTAATTACTTTAATTCTAAGAATTCAAAGTTGAAAACATTTTTAACTTGTTAGGTTACTTTTTTAACGTAATGTACTCTTCTCACAAAATTTATATTCTGTAAACCTTTATAACGATTTTTTTTACATCACAAATTTTGTAATGTAATGTACTCTTCTCACAAATTTTATATTCTGTAAACCTTTATAATGATTTTAATTTTTCTATTGTATAAAACTTTTAGCCTCTCCTTACTTTTTGTTCTGGTTCCGCCACTGAGCCAACACTATCAAAGATAGGATGTTGGCATTTAGCACAACAGATACTATGAGAAAACTAGAAAGTAGGTACATAACAATATTATCTTTACAAAATAAAGGAAGTACAATCTGAACCCCGATAAATCAGTGGTCTTTACTCCACGTCTCCACTGACAAGAAGTTAGGATACTTCTATACGCGCACCAATTAGAGTACCCAACTAGGGGTGGACCGGTTCCGGGCCGGGACCGGTTCGGGCCTTGAACCGGCCGGGCCTCGGTTCAAGGTAGGGGAGGCCCAGAACCGGCCCGGGTAACCCCGGGTCCGGTTCGGGCCGGGCCGGGCCGGGCCCGATTCCGGTTCTATATAATTTTTTTTTTTGGGTTTTCCTAATCAACCCCCTACCCTCCCCCTCAACCCCAAACCACCCCAAACCACCTCAAATGGTCCAAAATAACCAATCCAACCCAAAAACTTAAAAAAAAAAAATCAAAAAAAAATTAAATCCAGCCCGGACCGGGCCCGAACCGGCCGGGCCGGTTCACCAAAATGAAGGCCCGGAACCGGTAGCCACCGGGCCGGGTCGACCCGAACCGCCCATGGGCCGGGCCGGGCCGGTTCAAACAGTGACCGGGCCGGGCCGGTTCCGGGTCGGGCCGCCCGGCCCGAGTCCATCCCTATACCCAACTTCCCAAGTGACTTGAGTTATAAATTTTGCATTAACGTGTACAGATATATGCTCTTATCAGCTTTTTAAGCGATGAAATGATGAATCCATTACTTTATGTGGTCGTGTACTCGTGTTAAAAGCGAGAGATCTTTAGAGTAAAACACCCAAGCCAAAGTTAGAGTAAAAATAAGTAGGCGGTCGTAGTTGTTGAAATATAAACTAGAATAATATTTAAGATGGAGAGAATGATTTTCTGTGTATTTCATTGAAGGATTAAGTCCCTGTAAATATACATTACAAATAGAATATTCTTATACAAGATTCTATACAATAATAATATCCTAAAGTATATTCCTAGAATATTCTGAAGTATATTATAATATTCTAAAGTATATTCTATATCTTTCACACTCCCCCTCAAGTTGGAGCATAGATATTTATCATGCCCAACTTGTTACATAAATAACCAACTCGGATCCCATTTAGTGCTTTAGTGAACAAATCTCCAAGTTGTTCTCCAGTCTTCACATATCCCGTAGAGATCAATCCTTTTTGTATCTTCTCTCGAATAAAATGACAATCAACCTCAATATGCTTTGTTCTCTCATGAAATACTGGGTTGTTGGCAATGTGTATGGCAGCTTGATTATCACACCACAATTTAGCAGGCATTGGTGTCTTCAATCCGATTTCACCCAATAAATGGCCTATCCATATGATCTCACATGCAGATTGTGCCATAGCTCGGTATTCTGATTCGGCACTCGAACGAGAAACCACACTCTGTTTCTTACTCTTCCAGGATACTAGGTTTCCTCCAACAAAGACACAATACCCCGAGGTAGATCTTCGATCATCTTTAGATCCTGCCCAGTCAGCATCAGCAAAACATTCTATTCTCATGTGGTCGTGATTTTGATAGACAATCCCGCGTCCTGGTGCTCCCTTCAAGTAACATAATATATGTTCTACAGCAGCCCAATGGTCAATGGTCGGAGATGACATATATTGACTCACTACGCTCACAGAGTAAGTAATGTCTGGACGAGTGACTGCGAGATAGTTAAGCTTTCCAACCAATCTTCTATACCTTTCTGGGTCTTCGAATGGTATGCCTTCTGAAGTGAGTTGCACATTGGGAACCATGGGAGTTGTGTTTGGCTTTGCTCCCAAATTCCCTGTTTCAGTTAGTAAATCAAGTACATATTTACGCTGAGATAGAAATATGCCTTTCTTACTTCGTGTTACCTCAATACCCAGAAAGTATTTCAATGAGCCTAGGTCTTTTGTTTGGAATTGGCTATGAAGAAAATTCTTAAGAGCCAAAATACCTGCAGTATCACTTCCTGTAATCACAATATCATCGACATACACCACAAGCAATGTGATACCTGCTTTCGTTTTTCTGTAAAAGACAGCGTGATCTGATTGACCTTTTATCATTCCAAACCGTTCAATGGATTGACTGAATTTCCCAAACCATGCAAGAGGACTCTGTTTCAGACCATAAAGAGATTTGCGAAGTCGACAAACTTTCCCATACTCCCCCTGAGCAACAAATCCCGGAGGTTGCTCAATATAAACTTCCTCCTGAAGGTCACTATGCAAGAATGCATTTTTAATGTCCAACTGGTGTAAGTGCCAATCATGAGTTGCAGCGAGTGAGATAAGTAACTTGACAGATGTTAATTTAGCAACAGGAGAAAAAGTGTCAGAATAATCAACACCATAGGTTTGAGCATAACCCTTTGCAACCAATCGAGCTTTCAATCGAGCAACAGATCCATCTGGATTAACCTTAACAGCAAAGACCCACTTACACCCAATAGACTTCTTCCCTGAAGGCAAGTCTACCAAATCCCAAGTACCATTAAGATCCAAAGCATTCATTTCCTCTACCATGGCATGACGCCATTCAGGATGAGACAAAGCTTCTTTAACAGATTTGGGAACAGAAATAGAATCAATGGAAGCAACAAAAGAACATGAGGCATGAGATAACAAGACCGTGTACCTTTACGTAGTGCTATCGGGAGGTCAAGATCAGATGTAGAGACAAGATCTGAAGATGCAGGTACTGGTTCAGGACATGAGATCGAAGTCGGACCAGTATCAGGATATGTAATCACAGGTGTCACAGGTGGGGAGTGATCTTGTGCTTTGTGTCGACGAGTGTAAACCAAGTGTACAGGAGGCCTAGGGTCAGGAACAGTGACATTCGGCATAGTTACTGAAGGTGTGGTCTCAGGTATAGTAACTGTGTAAATGAGTATTTCATCGTTGTCCTCATGAATATCTGTCTTGGATGATGAAAAAGGTGTATTTTCATGAAATGAGACATCAATAGAAATAAGATATCGACCTGTACTTGGACAAAAACATTTATACCCCTTTTGAACTCGAGAATAACCTAAGAAAATACATTTCAATGACTTGGGGTCCAATTTCGTCCGATGAGGGTTAACAAGTGCAACCAAATATTTTAGGTGGAATAGGAAAAAGTTCTTTATTTGGAAAAAGACATTGATAAGGAGTTTTACCATCCAAAACAGAAGATGGCATACGATTGATTAAAAAACATGAAGTAGACACAGCGTCAGCTCAAAACTGTTTAGGTACATTCATTTGGAATAGAAGAGCCCTTGCAGTTTCTAACAGATGTCGATTCTTTCTTTCAGCAACTCCATTTTGAGGAGGTGTGTCTACGCATGAAGTTTGATGAATAATGCCATGTTGAAGCATAAAAGATTTAAATGGAGCAGATAAATATTCTTGGGCATTGTCTCCCCTTAACAGACGAACAGGAACATTAAATTGAGTTTTAATTTCAGCACAAAATGCATAGAAATGAGTAAATACCTCGGATCGACGCTTCATAAAATACACCCATGTCATACGAGAATAATCGTCAACAAAAGTGACAAAATATTTGAAACCAGGTTTGGACACAACTGGACATGCCCCCCAAACATCAGTATGGACAAGATCAAACGGAGCATTTGCTCGTTTATTAAGTCGGGGACTTAAACTAGTGTGATGATGTTTAGCAAACTCACACGACTCACATTGTATAGAAGACACCTTATTAAAGTGAGGATATAATTGTTTCATTAGTGAGAGAGATGGATGTCCTAATCGGTAATGAGCTTCTAATAGATTTCCAACCCCAAGGCAAGAGATACCTAGGCAAGAGATACCTTTTGTAATTGATGTATCCAAAATATAAAGACCAGCTGACTCATGTCCTTTACCAATAATCTGCTTCGTTAACAGATCCTGAAACACACAATATCCAGGAAAAAATGTTACAGAACAATTAAGAGTACGAGTGATTTTACTGATGGAAAGCAGATTAAATGCAAAATTATGAAGACTCAAAACAGACGATCGATAATGGTAATGTAGAAGTTGGAACAACAGTACCAGATCCAAGAACGGGTGAGGTAGATCCATCAGCTAAAGTGACACTAGAAGTAGGTAAATATGAATGAAATGACGAGAATAGACTAGGATTACCGGTCATATGGTCTGTGGCACCTGAGTCAATGACCCATTTCGAAGAAGATGAAATAAGACATGTGTTTGAGATACCTGAATTCGCGGCTACCGAGATAGGGACAGATGAATGCTTTAGAGATTCTTGGTAGCAAATAAATTTGGCATATTCATCCGAAGAAATAGCAACTGATCCATCAGATGAGGTGGTAGCGGAAGCAACATGAGCAATCAAATTTCCTTGATTTTTGAATGCAAACTTTCTACAATCTTTGAGCAAGTGTCCAGACTTCTTGCAGTAATTGCATATTACTCTGTCAAATTGACCTGTACGAAACATTTTTTTTTCTTTTTTTTTCTTTTCTTTTCTTTTTCTTTTTTTTTTAAAAAAAATAAAAAATAAAATCAAATATGAGATTGCATTGGAAACTTACAGCAGCCTTTTACGTGTGGGCTCAAATTTTGGAGAATAAAATATCCCGCTTGGGGCTGACTGATGAGGACTGACTTAACTCAGCAAATGCGAGACCCAGCATGTGCGACATCAGCCAAAAGCGGAAACATCCCAAGACCCCAGCGCGACCAACAAGACGGAGCAGATTCCACAGATATGCGAGACCTCAGATGCAAACAACCAGACGAAGGAGCCGTTGTGGCGTCTGCGAGAACTTCTGGCAGCGAGTGTATTGAACGCGCGTCGATTTTGCCTTGCGAATTTTGAGTGTTTGGTCGGCGGCGGAAGGGGTGCCTACTTCGGTTGGAGGTGCTACTGTGAATTTTGGACGAAGGTTCTAAGATTCTGATTTTTTTTCTTTTGGATTGTACCAAGGTTCTGAACGGTTCTGAAGAATCTGAAAAACTGAAATTCCTGAAGAAAGAATTTGGAAACAGGTTCTGGGAAGAGGTTCTGGGTGAAGTTTCTGGGAAGAGGTTCTGGGAGGTTCTGAAATAGGAGGTTCTTGGAGACAGAGTGCTTCCTTAAGGTTCTGAAGTTTTGGGACTGAAATCTGTTTCTAGGAGAAAGAACACAGTTTGAAAACTAAACTAAGATAACAAACTAAACTGAAATCTGAAAAGGAAAACTAAATTGGAATGGAAGGCTCTAATACCATGTTGAAATATAAACTAGAATAACATTTAAGATGGAGAGAATGATTTTCTGTGTATTTCATTGAAGGGTTAAGTCCCTATAAATATACATTACAAATAGAATATTCCTATACAAGATTCTATACAATAATAATATCCTAAAGTATATTCCTAGAATATTCTGAAGTATATTATAATATTCTGAAGTATATTCTATATCTTTCACAGTAGTCATGGACCCGGTTCGGGCCGCCCGGCCCAGGACCGGCCCGGCCCGGCCCGCCACTGTGCGAGCCCGGAACCGGCCCGGTTCTCGGGTCCGGGTCCGGGTCGGGCCTAGGCCCGGTGGGGGGGGCGGGTCCGGGCTCGGGCCTTGTATTTGGCGAACCGGCCCGGCCGGGTCGGGCCCGGGCCCGGGCCAAATTGATTTTTTTTTTTTCTTTTTTTGGGGTTAGCCGGCTAGCCGGGTTGGGTTTGATGGTTAGGAGGGGTTTGGGGGTTTGGGGGTGGGGGGTGAGTGGGGGGGGTTAGGAAAGCAAAAAAAAAAAAATTATGACCGAACCGGAGGCCCGGCCCGGACCCGGACCCAGTGGCTACCCGGGCCGGTCCCGGGCCTTCCTTCCCAAAAAAAAAAGCCCGGCCGAGCCCGGACCGGAACCGGCCCGGGTCCATGACTAGGCGGTCGTGACGTGGCGTCATTAACATAACTACTTAGCTCATCTGTAGCTGGCCATCATGGGGAACATAGAAATGAGCAAACGGGTAAAACCTCATTGAATTACAAAAGGAAAACATGTATTCAAAATGGCGCTCTGAACAAAAAGGAAGTGATATGTATCAATCAATCATGAACAACCACAGCACGGGCATCACCATTTTTTCCTAAGCCGATGCCCAATCCTAATGGTACACATTCAGTTTTGTTTTTCCTGCTGCAGCTGCTGATGTTGCTACTAGAACTACTATTATGAGTATTACACTGAGAAGAATGGGGGTCACTATGAAAGCCACTGCTGTTATTCACATTGATCACTACATGGTCGTTTCCATTGGTCTGTTGAGAATGGCTAACCCCATTCTGCAGGGCTGTACAACTCATAGCCATTTGCACAATTCCAATCCTTCCAGGTTGAGGTGATTCTTCACTGTACTCGACATCCTCATTGTATCCATTTATCAGAAAATCTGAGCAGTTTTTCCTGCATCCATGATCATAAGGATTTCTGAACCGACCACCAGGCCCTCTGAGGTAACTATAGCGCATTGCATTTGCCATCTCATTTGTTGTAATATTGTAAGCAATCTGTCAGCAATACAATGAAGAGAAATAATCAAGTTGGCCAATCCTTAAATAATTGCTCCATTACAATTCAGAAACTTGAGTTAAAACTAGTAAATAACAAACAAACAATCAAACAATAAATAAATAAAATAAATAAATCAGTAAATAATTAAATAAAAAAGTTGAACCGCTGGCCATTTGGCAACATTCATTCCTGTGTTCAAGTTTGTTACTTCAAATTCCAGCAAAACTAACAGCTTCCAATAAATCTAGTAAAGTTGATGCTTTTACATCTCTTAAAAAGTGTTATCTAAATATTGGCCCTCTTTTAAAATAGGGAAAAATACAGCAATATTTTACTAAAAGAGAGGATTTCCAATAATATGACTAAAAACTTTATTGACCAGAACATGACTATATAGTAACTGTACACGAGTACCCGATATTTTAAAAAAGAGACAAAATGACTCCATTTCCTTGATGTGCCCGTGTTGGCAAATTTTGAACAAAAAAGGGACTTTCTTCTTAAACAGAAAGTAAACCATTTAATGCTGTAGAGAACCATAAGGAAACACATTCCTTCTACAGTTGTATATCAAAGAAGACAGACAGCATGTGAAAGTAGAGTTTAAATTGAAAGAAAGCAACGGTGAAGAACGAGGACAGCGGAGTGGTAGAGACAGTAATGATGAAGACTGCCGGACTGCAATATAGTTACCGTCGATGAGCTGGTAATTGGTAAAGGTGAGCATCGTCGAGAAAATGACAGGAATGGAGAAGTCATTATTGGACAATGATTTGGTGCAGAGGTTTTCTAAAAGCGAGTGATGAAGAGCAGTAATGTTCTGTTCTGTAGTAATATGAAGGCTTGACAAAGCTTAATGCACTAAATGAAAATTTTCACTACACTATATTTGTTGGCTTAACAAAAGCAATACAGAATCATCATTAAATTAGTGCAGTATTAGGGTAGTATAGTAATGACATCGTTAAAGAATCACCAGGGTAACAACATTTTAGTAACGATGTTGTATAACTTTTAAGTTGATAAGGTAAGGCTGTCTCCAAGTAAAAGGTACATTAGTACAGCAGATAGCAGATAGCTAGTCTGGAGGTAAAACTGACCGTAATCCCATGTGCATATAGATGGATTCAGGGAAATGTAATGTTTACAGTTATACATTTACTTACAATTTAATCAGGTAGACACAGAAATTGTAAGTAGTTTTCAATAATTGGTTTCAATGTTTGGGCGATTATAATTTTATAACTTAAACAGTGAAATCCAGTATTTTAAATGTAGATTTTGCCATTGTAAGTGAAATAAACTATATTTGAATCATAGTTGTCACGGCGGCTAGGCGAGGCGAGATGCCAACTGACAGCCTTATCGCCTAGGCATCTAGGCGCCAACCTAGGCGAGAAGTCATGCCATATAATATTGTATACATATAATAAAATAATACATTAAAAAAACATATATGAAACAATAGATTATGTATGTAGAAAAAATGTCCAATATAAATTGAATAGCATAAATATCATAAAATAGGCAATATGCAATAGAATAGCAGACGTTTGGTAACAGAGATTGAATCTGATAAATTGACTCCAGCTGGAAATGAAATAAAAGAAAGAGTATCAGAAGTTTACTGGTACATAAACCGTGTACATAAAAGTAGAAAAAATGCATAATACATTTAAGAATATATGGAGTCCAGCTGTCTCCATAACCAAACGAAATCCTAAATAAAAGAACAGCTAGCGACCTTAAAAAATGGGAATGCTGAATGAGCGCAGCAAATGGAGGCAAGGTGGAGCAGCTGCGCTATACAGCGACCTGAGGCAGCATCCTACTGTGGCGACTTGCATCAGCGACTCGGCTTGACCAGATGAACTGTTGATGGGGCTAGGGTTCTGGCCGATGGCTTAATCTTAAAACTCAGCATCTTTTCCAACCTAATATTATGGGCAAAAGCGGCAAAACAAGCTTTGGGCATCGCCAGGACAACTAGTCCACGCCGAGTTACGCCTTAACGGCTTCAGGTGAGTCGAGTAAGCATGGCGCCACTTCCCCACCACAAGGACGACTAGTCAACACCTAGACGACGACAGAACAGCTACGATTTGAATCCAAAGTTCTTTAATAAACTATAAACTCGAAATATGCTTCCAAATTGCTCATAAATGAGCGCATATCAGAGATTCAGCCTTTTTCAGAAAAGGTATGATGCGTACTCTAATATTGTATCTGTAAATCGATAGCTATTATTTAGATAAAGTGCAGAAAAGAAGAAGATACAGACAAAGGCACTTCGAGTGGCCTAAACTCTACCAGAATCCCAACTCTTACTCAAATCCCGACTCCTTTTCCCTTCTCCCATCCTACTATTTATTCTATTCCCAAAGCCCACTTACATCCCAGTCCACTTATTGTTTGGGTCAAGCCCACTTACTTATTACAGCTTATTACAATATTATTTCTATTAATTCCCTCGCCATCTCAGGTTTGTATCATCACTCCCCCCTTTGACAACCACCTTGTCCTCAAGGTGGGGAGTAATAAACAGGCATGTTATTCAGCTTCATCTTGGCAACTCTAAACAGACAGTAATGTTAGGTACACCGAAAATCTGGCGATGAATTGTTGATTACGAAACTGAAATTGAAGAAACGGAAAGTAACGATACAGATGAGGCAAGTTCGAGAGTGCCTTGTCTTTCCCAAGTCCCATTCCAATCTAATTTCTGCCTACCCTTTACACTACTCCCACTACTATTAATATCATTTCCTTATGGGCCAGCCAGAGCTAATTAATACCAGGCCCAGGCCCCTCTAATAAACTATCACAATTATTGGTTATTATTATAATATTCTTATTCTTATTCTCCTTAGCCCATGATCCTAACATATCTCCTCCCTTGGACAACCACCTTGTCCTCAAGGTGGGTGATATGAAACCGCCTTGATCTTCAGGTTCACCTTCATCCTTGCGCCTCTACCTTCCCAGTATTTCACGGATTTCTGAACCCATGATCCTGATTTGAACCTTCACCATCACTCCTTCCATAGCCAGAAAGGGCATAGCAAGAAAGAGCTGAGGCAAGGACTTTGTTGCAACCTGCTCCACAATGTTGCAGAGCTTAAAATCTTCCAGCAACTGCATCTCTGGCCCATCTCCCAACCACTTTATGCTGTGTTTCCTGAAATTTTCCTCGACCTTTCCCTGATTGGCTGGCGGTCCCTTTCCCAGAATCACATTAATCTCTCCAAGGTCTAACAAATAGAAATCCTCGGTCATCACTGAATTTCGTACCCAAGTCTGTAGTACCTTACAACTGCTCTGGGGAGATAATTGCTCTCCCTTCCCCATCTCGACTTGAAACATTACTGCTGCTCTATAGTACATCTGCACCACCACTATCACTTTCTGAGATATGAGATTAAGAGTGGCCCCAGACTTCAGTAAAATCAGAATCTGTAGCTCTCCTTGTACCTTGAAGCTTCTAGGGAATATAAGTCCCACTGTGCTTAGGGCAGATAGTTGCCAGTGTTTCACCTCTCCCTCAGATTCATCTTCCAGAGCAGGCTTGTGATCTCTTGATAACTTAAGTGCCTGATTCTTCCTAGATAGGAAACAACTAGAATCGCCTACATTTGCAATTATAAATGCTTGAAATTCATTTTGACCCAAGTCTGGTGGAAACCTTCTGATCCCTACATCCTTCAGATCATCTACACCTCCTTGATTTATACTGACAGTATCATAAGCCGCATAAAAA